ACAATTAAAGTGAGTTTCCTGTATTCAACTGCTGCTGTTTCTGCATTGTGACACTGGTGGAGGTGATGGGTACATGTTCGGGACGCCTGATAATAGCCCCGCATCTAGTCCAGAAAGACTTCCGCACATCGACACCCCCGTTCACCGTAGCAGCCGGCGCCTGTTAGGCCTCAGCCCGGAGTTTGGTCCATTGCCGGAAAGCGTGACTGCGTCAGAAAGCTTGACGGCGCCTGGAAGCACTGGCCCCAACATGTCCAGCCCAAGCACGACACAGGTGACTGCGTTGAACCCTCGACTTCCGGTTGACTTCCACGGAAACGCATATGAGGACGCACATGACTAGCTCGAGGAATTCGAGCACACAGCGAATGTTAACGGGTGGGACACCACACAGAAATTGGGCTGCGTTTATTTTCCGCTTCAAGACGGAGCCCGAACATGGTTCATGAATCGCGTGTGGTCGTCTTGGGACGAGTTCCGGCAGAAGTTCCTCGACACGTTCGCAAGCACTGAAAGACGAGAAATCGCACAGCGTCTCCTCGAGTCACGGATTCAGAAACCAAATGAATCCGTTACGATGTTTGTTGAGGACATGGCGCGGCTATTTCGTCGAGCAGATCCTAATATGCCCAAAGCCAAAAGGTTAGCTACCTCATGCGGGGCGTTAAGGAGCAGCTCTTCGCTGGTCTCGTGCCAAACTCACCTACAAGTGTTGATGAATTCTCCAAGAAGGCGACATCTATCAAACGCGCACTGCATCTACGTTATCGCCAGTATGACCGCCCAACCCACAGTGCACCGATCAGCGTGGCAGCCACGACCACAGCAACGACACCCAAAGAAGGTTCTTTGCATCAACTAATACGAGAAATCGTACAAGAGGAGGTCAAGAAGCTCGTCGCCAAACCGAATGACTGCGCGATCGCCTCAGTAACAAAAGTTGTGCGCCAGGAGATCAGGCAAGCGCTCTCGCTTCCTGAGCAGAACACGAGCACCTCCAGAGCAAGCTATTCAGACATAGTCTGCCGACCAGCCAGCGAACGTGCCGACACCGCATCAGTTACCACCAGCAACATCGCCGACAGCGCTTTGGTACTACAGAGAAACTTCGACGCCGAGGCAGGCCGCCACTTCGCAAAACTGACGTTCGGGCGTATCCTTGACCTAGGCCCCTATGCTTTCATTGTGGGGAAACGGGCCACAGTTGTTCAGTATTGCCCGTATCACGTCGCAGGTACCAAGGTTTCCTTCTACCATTTCTCGGCGCCATTTCAACGAAACACGTGACGTCGACATGAGTGTCATGACCTCGCGGGATGTTCCTTTCTGGGTTTTCGGTCGCGCTCACCTTCTGGTAAGTTATTCTCCATCCTCTAGACAGAGCACCACTGACATGCCAAGACGGAGATCTCCCAGTCCACGCCCGGGAAACTAAAAGCAGCGACCTCAGTGGGGAAGCTTGCAAATCGTCCAAGTGCTGGAAAATTCCCCTCTACTGCCGAGCAAAGAGACACAAATTTTCAATGATATCGATGAAAGATGGGGTTGTTACTGCCGAAGTTGCAATTACATTGACGGACATGACGTCATGGCATTGTCGACACTGGCACGGACTTCTCAATAATGAGTGAGAGTCTGGCAGACAGCTCAGGAAGGTTACAATGGACAGGACCGCAGATTAGAGGAGCTGGAGGGCATCTACTCACACCTACCAGAAAGTGCACGCAAGAATGAAGATAGGGGATGCATCCTTTGTCACAACTTTCGTTATTATTCCGAGTGTTGCAAACAGGCAATCTTAGGGATGGATCTCTGGCGTCAACATGGTGCCATCATCAATATACCGGACGGTGTACTGACCTTTTCAGCAGATCAAAAGCGCAGCGCTACACCAAAATCCCTGCGAGTCATTGATGATGTGACCGTACCTCCGTTATCGTGCCGCCTTGTTTCAGTCACGTGCACCGAGCAGAATACTGGAGAAGGAATCGCTGAACAAGTATTGATGCTTCTACTCTCTCGCAGTGTTGCAATTGCCAAAAGTATCGTCAATGTTGTGTGCGGTGAAGCGGAAAGATCTGTTGACCAATTTTACCAACGAGCGACGACACATTACACAAGGCACTACAGTTTGCCTACTTCGACGAGATCACCGAAATCCGCGAGTGTTGCGTAGTACAACAGGACGAGCCGCAAGCCACGTCAGCCCCACCACCTATTGACGTAAGCACGGATTCATCACCAGTGCAGAGACAGCATCTAGTAGATCTTCAGCAGTTCAAAGACTGTTTTTTCATCAACCTCGAGGGTCACTCAAACGCCACTGACGAAGCATCGGATAATAACGTAGGAGGCAAGGCCAATACGACAGAACCCATACCGCGTAGCACCGAAAGAGCATGAAGCAATTTAGGAACAAGGGAAGAAAATGCTCGATGATGACGTCATCCAGCCGTCAAAAGCCCTTGGGCATCGCCGGTAGTGCTGGTTAAAAAAAAAGACGGAAGCTTTCGATTTTGTGTTGACTACCACAAGCTGAACCGTGTGACAAAGAAAGACATATACCCATTACCGCGCATCGATGATTCACTCGACAGGCTGAGGTATGCACGCTACTTCTTGTCAATGGACCTCAAAAGTGGGTATTGGCAAATTGAGGTCGACGAGCGAGATAGAGAAAAACGGCTTTTGTAATGCCTGACGGGCTTTATGAATTTAAAGTCTTGCCGTTCAGATTGTGCTCAGCCCCTGCAACATTTAAGAAACTGATGGATACTGTTCTGTCAGGCCTTAAGTGGCAGGCATGTCTGGTCTATCTGGACGACGTCATTGTTTTTTCAAAAACTATTTGAGGAACACCTGAGGCAGGCTGCTATCGGTATTCAGGGCAATAAGGTCTGCCGGCCTGACACTGAAACCGAGAAGTGTCATTTCGGTCTCAAGGAGCTCCAATTTTTAGGCCATGTGGTGAGCCATAAAGGTGTTCGACCTGATCCCGATAAGATTGAGGCCGTCAGAAAATTTCCGGTGCCAAAATACAAGAAAGCAGTCAGGCGTTTCCTTGGCCTATGCGCATACTACCGAAGGTTTATTGTCCAATTTCTCCACATAGCCTCGCCAGTTAACACGGCTCACAAGAGAAGACGTTTTCGTTCGACATGGGGCGACGATCAACAGGTGGCATTTGACGTTCTCCGACAATGCCTGCAGACTCCGCCTGTGCTTGCTCACTTTGATGAGGATGCTCCTACCATGGTCCACACAGATGCCTAGCAACGTGGGTTTAGGCGCTGTACTCGTCCAGTGGAAAGACTCAGCCGAGCTGTGTGATCGCATATGCTAGTAGGACGTTTTCTCAGCGCCGAGTCCAATTACTCCACAACGGAAAAAGAGTGTCTTGCTGTCGTATGGGCGATTATGAAGTTTCGTCCCTACCTCTATGGATCGTCCTTCCACGTAGTCAACGACCATCATTCCCTCTGCTGGCTGACCAACTTGAAAGACCCGTCTGGTCGGCTCGCACGGTGGAGCTTACTGCCTTCAAGAGTTTGATATGATGGTCGTGTATAAGTCCGGAGGGCAGCACGCCGACGCTGATTGCTTATCAAGGTCACTGATAAAGCGCGACGATGACACTGAAGATGACAGCATGGCGTTTATTAGGAGTCGTTGACACCACTACGATTTCGTACAAGCAGAAAGAAGACAGCGAGTTGCTTCCCCTTATTGAATTTTTGAATGGCCGGGCAACAACCGTCCCTAGAAGATATGCAATGAGCCTGCTGCATTCTGCTACGTCGTGGTGTTCTCTATAAAAAGAACTTTTCTCCCAGAGGAAGCACCCGCCTACTTGTCGTTCCGACGTCAATCCATGAGGAGATACTGTATGCTTGCCACAATGAGCCAACGTCTGGTCATCTCGGATACACACGCACATTGGCCAGAATCCAACAGAAATACTACTGGCCGAGACTTCCAGCTATTGTGAAGCATTACGTGCACACGTGCCTCGATTGCCAACGACGAAAATCGCCACCGTTAAAACCAGCTGGACTATTACAACCAATACAAGTGCCCACGGTACCTTTTGCCCAAATTGGAATGGATCTCCTTGGACCATATCCGACTTCCCATGCTGGCAACAAGTGGGTAATAGTTGCCACTGATTAGCTTATGCGCTACGCCTGAAACAAAGGCTTTGTCATGTGGCACCGCCGTTGAAACCGCACGATTTTCGTAGAAAGTATCGTCCCGAGGCATGGTGCTCCGACAATCATAATAACGGATCGAGGTGCCGCTTTCACGGCCGCGCTCATGAAGACAGTGCTTGAGCTAAGTGGAACAGCCCATCGGAAAACCACTTCCTATCATCCACAAACCAACGGTTTAACAGAACGCCTCAACAAGACTATTGCTGACATGTTGAGTATGTACGTTGACGTGGATCACAAGAACTGGACGACATTCTATCGTACATCACGTTCGCCTATAATACAGCCCTGCAAGAAACTACACGAAGAACGCCGTTCAGTCTCCTTCATGGCCGTGAAGTGACGACGATGCTTGATGCCATGTTACTGCACGACTACAATGACATCGATTTGGACGCTGCATCTTTTACCCAACGAGCAAAGAAGCGAGGCAGCTTGCGCGCGTCTGAATCGCCCAGCAGCAAAGTTACGACGCCAAACGTTATAATCTGCGACACCGACATGTCGTCTATCGGGCCGGCGACAGTCTGGGTATGGAGTCCTATCTGCCGCCGGGGACTGTCTGAAAAATTGCTAAAGAAGTATTTTGGCCCCTACACAGTTTTACAACGCCTGAGCGACGGTAATTACATGGTCGTTCC